TGGCAGGCAGAGGCAGAGGGAGAAGCAGGCTCCCTGCTGAGCAAGGAGCCCGATGCGGGACTCGATCCCAGGACGCTGGGATCATGACCTGAGCCGAAGGCAGCTGCTCAACCAACTGAGCCACCCAGGCGTCCCTAGAAGTTCTAATTTTATTGAAGCCAGCTTATCTATATATTTTTTCCTTTAATGAATTATGGCTTTATTGTATCTAAAATGTCAATGATATAGATGTTTTCTCATATGTTGTTATCTTCTGGAATTTTTTTGTTTTGTTTTGTTTTGCTTTTGTTTTTGTTTTAGTTTTTTATTTTAGGTTTATTGCTATGATCCATTTTTGAGTTAATTTTTATGAAGAGTACCAAGTCTATGCAAGATTTGGTTATTTTTTTGTAATTGTTTTGTGTTTTTTTCCATGTGGATGCTTAGTTGTTTTACACTCATTTGTTTTCAAGAAATTATGTTTCCTTCATTGTATTGCCTTTGCTCCTTTGTCTAAGATCAGGTCACATAGTGGTCTCTCTCTAGGTTCCTGTTCCATTCCATTGATCTATTTTTCTACTCTTTTACTAATACCACACTGTCTTGTTCACCACAGCTATATAATAAGTCTAGAAGACAGGTGACTTTGTTTTTTGTTTGTTTGTTCATTTGCTTATTTGTTTTTCTTTCAGTGTTGTGTTGGCTATACTGGATCTTTTTACCTCTCTGTACAATCTTTTGAATGGCATTGCCTCTATATGTAAAATATACACAAAATATACAAACTATCTTGCTGGGACCAAATTTGACTTGCTAAATCTAAAGATTAAGTGGGAAAGGACAGACATCTTGATAGTATTTAGTCTTTCTATCCATGAACATGAAATATATGTCCATTTATTTAATTATTTTTTTATTTTTTTAAAGATTTATCTATTTTACAGTAGGGGAGTGAGAAAGACAGAGAGAGAGAGAGCACACACATGAGTGGGAGGGGAAGAAGGAAAGGGAGAGAGAAGACTTTATCAAGTAGACTCCACACTAAGTGCAAAGCCTGCACTTAGTAACTTGACCCTGAGATCACAACCTAAACTGAAACCAAGAGTTGGGCTGCTAACCAACTATGCTACCCAGACATCCCTTATTTTTATTTTTTTCATCATACTTTTATACTTTTACTTATATAGATCCTATAATACTTTATTAGATTTATAACTAAGTATTCATTTTGAGGGATGCTAATTAAAAAGGTATTGTTTAAAAAATAAAATAAAATGGTATTATTCTTAATTCCAAATTCCACTTGTTTATTGTTAGTATATAGGAAAGCATTTGGTCTTGTGTATTGATTTTGTATCCAGTAATCTTGCTATAATCACTTTTTAAATTCAATTTTTTTTGTTTCATTTAGATTTACCACATAGATGATGATGTAATCTGTGAACAGAAACAGTTTTGCTTCTTCCTTCCCAGTAATTATACATTTTATCTCCTTTGCTGGATTTGCTGAATTATCAAAAACTTCCAGTACAATATTAGAAATGAGTAGTGAAAGGAAAGTGCTGATTTTTTATTGCTGAGTAATATTCAATTTGTAGATATATCAAAAGTCATAGCAGCAATGCCCACAATCACCAAACGTGGAAAGAGCCAAGATGCCCTTCAACAGGTGAATGGATAAAGACATGGTTCACATATATGGTGGAGTATTATGCTTCCATCAAAAAGAATGAATACCCAACTTTTGTATCAACGTGGATGGGACTGGAGGAGATTATGCTGAGTGAAATAAGGCAAGCAGAAAGAGTCAATTATCATATGGTTTCACTTACTTGTGAAGCATAAGGAATAACACGGAGGACATTGGGAGATGGAGAGAAGTGAGTTGAGGTAAATCAGAGGGGGGGATGAACCATGAGAGACTGTGGACTCTGAGAAACAAACTGAGGGTTTTGGAAGGGATGGGGTAGGGGGATGGGTGAGCCTGGTGGTGGGTATTAAGGAGGGCATGTATTGCATGGACCACTGGGTGTGGTGCATAAACAATGAATCTTGGAACACTGAAAAAATAAAATTAAATTAAAAAAATAAATTTGAGATACAATATTGTGTAAGATATAAGCATGCTACACTGGTACATTTATATACTATATTGTGATTCATGAAGTAGTAATATTTATCATATTACATAATTATAGTACAATGTTATTGTCTGTATTCATTACTATTAATTAGATCTCTGTTATTTAATACTTATTACAAATTTGTACAGTTAAACACCACTAATCTAATGACCTCCACCCCCCACACATTTGCACTCATATCCACTGGCACTACCATTTTATTTTTTTTTATATAGATTTATGTTGTTTAGATTCCACATACAAATTACATTATACATTACTTGTATTTCTCTGACTGATCTCTCATTTAGTATAATATGTTCAAGGTGCATCCATGTTACTGGAAATGGAAGAATATGCTCCTTTCTCATCACTATGTAATTTTTTAAACAATTTCTTAGCTGATTTTTTTTAAGATTTTATTTATTTATTTGACAGACTAATATCACAAGTAGGCAGAGAAGCAGGCAGAGAGAGAGGGCAGGGGGAAGCAGGCTCTCTGCCAAGCAGAGAACCCAATGCGGGGCTTGATCCCAGGACCCTGAGACCATGACCTGAGCCGAAGGCCAAGGCTTAACCCACTGAGCCACCCAGGTGCCCCGACTACATAATTTTTTTATTCATTCATCCACTGATGAGCATTTGGATTGTCCCATAGCCTGGTAATGTGAATATGTCTGTGATAAACATGGGAGTGTATATCTCTTTGAAACTTTGTTTTCATTTTCTTTGGGCATATACCCAGGAGGGAATATCTGGATTTCATGGTAGATTTATTGTTAATTTTTTTTGGAGGAACTTCCATATTGTTTTTCATAGTGGTTGGAGCACTTTGTATTTCCCCCAAAAAATGTATATATAATGTTTCTTTTTACCCTCTTCACCAGCACCTGTTGTTTCTTGTCTCCTTGATAGCCATTCTGACAGGTGTTGAGTGGTATCACATTGTGGTTTTGATTTGCATTTCCCTCATGATTAGTAATGTTGACTCTTTTTCTGTATTTGTTGACCATTTTGCTATCTGCCTTAGAAAAATGTCTATTAAGTTTTTTCCATTAAAAAATGATTTATTTTATTTTAGAGAAACAAAGAGAGAGAGAGAGAGCACCTGAGCAGGGAGAAGTTTAGAGGGAGAAGAGAGAGGGAAAAAGCAAATTTTGTGCTAAGTGTGGAGCTGTTATAGGGCTTCATCTCAGGACCCTGAGATCAGGACCTGAGCCAAAAATGAGTCAGATGTGTAACTGACTGAGCCACCCAGGCATCCCCAGAATTCCTTTTGTGTTCTGTCCCTATGTCATCATTATTTCCTACTTCACTTTTTTATTATATTCAGCTAGCCAACATATAGTACATCATTAGTTTTTGACGTAGTGTTCAACCATTCATTAGTTGCCTGTAACACCCAGTGCTCATCACAGTAGGTGCCCTCCTTATTGACCATCACCTGGCCACACCATCCTTCCACCCCACTCCCCTCTGAAACCCTGTTTGTTTCCCAGAGTGCACAGTGTTCCATGGTTTGTCTCCCTCTCTGACTTCTTCCCAGTTTTCTGCCCCTTCCCCCATGGTCCTCTGTGCTATTTCTTGTGTTCCACGTATCAGTGAAACCATATGACAATTTTATTTCTGTGCTGTTCTTATTTCACTCAGCATAATCTGTAACCATCCCTCAGAACAATGTACTGACCAAACATGCTTAAGCTTTTACTAGCAACAGGCCTCTGGGGGACAGGATGATATATGTCCTTGAAGCCCAGCAGCTGGGAATGCTGGGCCCACTCAAGGTGGAACCCTGCCTGCTTCTTTTTCCTGTTACCTCCCCTTCTCCAGAGATCACCATAGTTAATTAGATGATCCCTTTAAATGTGTTTACTCAACCACAAATCCTATACTGCTTGATCAGGCATATATTGCTTATCTATAATCTCCTCTGACTCCTTTGTTGATTTTTATCTTGTATCTAATAAATAAGAGACTGAGGAGTTGTTCAGGGTGGCAGTATTCTCAACTGCCAACCCTGGCTCCCTTTCTTTTGCAGCTGACTTGTTTGGTCCACATTCTTCTCCTGTGCAATATCAGGAAACTGCAAGTGGTGCCAGAACAGGGACCTGAAACAAAACTGGAGAAGCCCCAACATGTTCATCTGCATGGCCATTTCTTTTTCCTGTTGGTGAGTTGTGGGTGCATATAGCAGGGTATGGTAACATAAAGAGCACAAACAAATATCACTCCTATGTATGCTTATTAAGATGGCTCCTAAAGGTGGGAGGAGCAAAAGTCAGCAAGGACCAACTTTTGGAGCTTTTAAAAGTAATTAAAGAACATTGCTCCTGGTTCCCTACATTAGGGACTTTAGACCTACAGACATGAGAAAGTAGGTCATGAGTTACAACTTTTGCATGCT